AAAGTATTCACAATAAGTATTGATTAAAGTATTCTTTTTTTAATTTATTGAGCTTAAAATGTGATAATATATAATTACATTCTACAAATGGCAAATAGTTAAAGTACGAAAAAAGTTCGACCATGATATGAATTTCTTTTAAAAACCATGAAAAACTTTGCATTGATGTACCTGCATAATTATTTCTTATCTGATGATATAAAGTTGGCAATACTTGCGTATTTATAATGTAAAACATTTACAGGTTCCCATTGCAATGAGATAGTTAAATGTTGAGTTCGAAGTCCGTGGATTTTTTATCCTAGAGAAACTGCTAATCGCTTTGTGGAATAATTCCTTGTCATTTCTCGTAATATTTTCTCACTGGCCTCATTTATTTCAAATCAAACTCATTCAACATTCGCGGTAGAAGTCATACCATATATGGTTTGTAGTCATTATAGGCATAACATATATTGGTTCTAGTCATTGTAGGCACAACATATATGGGTTGTAATCATTGTTGTCATACATAGATGGTTTCTAGTCATTGTAGGCATAACATATATGGGTTGTAATCATTGTAGTCATACATACATGGTTATAGTCATTGTAGGCATAACATATATGGGTTGTAATCATTGTTGTCATACATACATGGCTTCTAGTCATTGTAGGCATAACATATATGGGTTGTAGTCATTGCAGTCATACATACATGGGTTTTAGTCATTGTAGGCATAACATATATGGGTTGTAGTCATTGTAGTCATACCATGTATGGGTTGCAGTCATTGCTGTTGCAATAGCATTGACAGTGATACTGGTATGATGATGATGATGGTGATGCAATTTGAATTAGAATTGTATTATAAAGAAAAATAGCGAATTATTTTTAACCTCGTACCGGCACCAGATGAAGACACAGTCCCTGTACCATTCATTTGTATGGTTGCAGGAGTGCACTGTAGAGATGGTATTCAAGGACCGGTACCGTCGTTCGTTGTACCAGCTGCAGCTCAGCGAGGTACCGAGCGTTGGTAGCTGGTTGTCTCTGCGCCATCTGGCCAGCTATGAGCTCATTACCAAGGTATTTATTACTGTACCAATAAATTACGCTACTAAACAACGCTAATACTGTTACTAAAAAATACTAAATACTGTTATATATACTGCTACTAAAATAAACAACGTTAACCATGTTACTAAACTATACTAAATACTGTTATATATACTGTTACTAAAATAAACAACGTTAATATAATACCGTTACCATTAATACCGTTACCATTAATACCGTTATCATTAATACCGTTACCATTAATACCGTTACCATTAATACCGCTACCATTAATACCATTACCATTAATACCGTTATCATTAATACCGCTACCATTACCATCGTGACATTAAAACCGTTACCATTAATACCGTTACCATGAATACCGTTACCATTAATGCCGTTGCCTTTAATACCGTTACCATTAATACCGTTACTATTAATACCGCTACCATTAATTCCATTACCATTAATACCGTTACCATTAATACCGTTACCATTAATACCGCTACCATTAATACCATTACCATTAATACCGTTACCATTAATTCCGTTACTATTAAATAAAATAACTTTTGACGAAATGGTAGTGTAAGAAATCGTTTAAAATAATGTTATATAAAAGTGAAAAAATGTTGAAGGTCATTTTGAATTTTTATTCAACTCATATATGAGTCTCCGATCTCCATATAAATTCACTACGAATTTTTGGCGACTTTTTCTCATGAATTCAATCATAAATAAACTTTATTTATATATACTACGTTAAAAGTACGATATGATGCACCGTGAATTTTATATTTTAATTCATTGAAAAAAATGTTTAACTGAAATCGCATTTGAATTAAATTTAATAGAAAGTAGTTGCGCAATTTTTCAAAAAACATTTCCATACGATACATAAAGAATTTTGAATCAATTTATCAAGGCTTTATACGTATATTAATTCGACGCGTGCTCGTTAGAGTCGTGACAATAAAATCTGTTGAAGAATACATGATCAATTATACGTTTTGGTAAGAACATGTCCCCTCTTTCTCCTTCTTAATTTATCTGGTCATTTATTTATATAATTATTTTCTTGTTTATTGATGGTTAAGTGTATATAATAACATATATTATAAAGATTATTTCTACTCAGTCCGCAATGTTAAAATAATACTTGTCTACTCGATAATAATGCTTGATAATTGAGTATTATTTCAAAAAATATTTTCTATTGAATCACGAAGCTGGTTTTTAACATAATCATGACGTCTGTGTACAATGAAGAGAACACTGCAGTGACGATGAACACCACTGAACAGCGCGTGCTGCTGTTCGTTTCGCCGTTGATAATTATTAATGATTAACGACCGTGAAAAATGGACGCGAAGTGTAGCCTTAAGCTCGATTATCGTTGTTTTATCATGCGAAGTAATGTTCGTTGTGACCTGCAGAGCTTTCAGAAAAATTGTTTTTATAAATTTATTTAAATTTGTAGTGCACGTAGGGAAAATATAAGAAATTTAATTTTAATATGTTAATATTAATCATGTCGAAAAATTAGGGCATTCATAATTGTAATTATATAACGTTATTCACCGATGATCAATTCTTAGTTTTCTCAGTGTTTTACCCATCATTGTTAAGAATTTAGCATAATATAGTATAAATTATAACTAAGTGAATTATTAGTCCTAATTATTTGATTCTAATTTGATTAATTTTCATTAATCAATGTAATTAGATTAACTTTAATTAATCAAATTTAATTTTTGGTAAATTTAAATAATATGAATAATTTTTCATGAGTAATCAATGAATTGATAAGCATATTACAATTTAGATAATTTTTACTAAATTAACATCATAGTTACCCCACACCGGGGCTTGATATATCTTGGCATGGAGATGTCCACAGGATTTGTGTTTATAGACTTCAGACAGTGAATGAATCGAATTCATGAATTCATCGGTCCATACATATATAATTTACCTGCCCATACATATTTACAGGCCCATACATATATTCACTGGTCCATACATATTGACTCGTCCATAAATTTATAATTAACCGGTCCATACACATTGACTAGTCCATACATATAATTCACCGGTCCATACATATATAATTCACCGGTCCATACATATATAATTCACCAGTGCATACATATATCATTCACCGGTCCATACATATATTCTGAATATTATTGAGATGAACTGTGATGCTGCAGGTGCTGTGGCCGCTAGGTGTGCTGCAGGGCTACCAGGAGACGAGGCTCACGGTGCTGTTCAGCAACGGCGTGCTGCGTGTCACTGCCATCTTGCAGCACGGTTTGTGATAATTTATTTACTATTTTTTCGTTCGTGAAATATTGGATATTGTTTAGCACTACACTCATGAAAATGGATAGTAATAATGTCTAAATAGTGACACACTTCCTTGTGTGAGCACTAGGCCAAAATGACTTACGCAAGGGCAAAAAGTGCATCGCTATTTAGAGAAAGTCTCTACATATCTCTGAGTGTATGTAAGAGAGAGAAATATGGAAGTCAGATGTTCTATTTTTATTGAAATAATAGTGGCAATGTACCATAAATAAATCCCTACAGTCCGTAATCTCACATGATCATTATAAGTTCCGCTTACTTTTATTATAAGGCAAAGGTTTTATGGTTCTTTGCTTTTTGTACAATAAATGAAACCTTTATGCCTCAGACACGACGGAAGGTTCCCTCAACTCCAGCCATCATTTTGCACCCTCACATCAAGGGTGGGTTACATTAATACTTAAGATTAATACGTTGTATCCTATACAATTTATCCCAGCGTTGCGACGTAAATTTTAATCCTCGATTTTTATCAATACCATTTCAAAATAAAATTTCCTATCCAAGGTATTGAAGGGAAGAAATATTGTAGATTTTAAAAGTGAAAATCGATTTTCAGTCTGAGTATTGCAAAAATCATCTTGTTGAGATCTACGTGTCCAATTATTTAAGAGCGACTGAGTTTCAGAATTTAAACTGGATGATGGAAAGAAAAATTATAAATGAAGACTATTTCTAATTTCGAACATTTTTGGCAGTGGAGATTTTTATCTATGGATATTAACAGTAAACATTTTTCAGCATGGATTTTGGTGATAGATATTTCCTAATTTATTTATTGTCCGCTTGAATTATTTTATTGTAAATGCACCGAATATGAAAGAAAATTTAAACTTTCTGGAACTATAACGTTCGTTTCCGTCATAGAGGAAAACATTGTGATGTCCTATAAAATTATTAAAAGTTGTTTCATGAACAATTATTAAGCTGTATAAACCGTAAGGTGCATTATTTAGACTATTTACTATAAAAATATATTATGTGTTAATATAATATACTGTAATATATAAAATAATAGACAAGAAACGTAAATAATAATAACATTCTGGCCAGCCCCTTCCTGCTGCTCGCTTCTCTGCGCAAGCTGCACGAAGCCTGGGAGGAACCTGTCTCCGTGCAGCTGCTGCAGCCTCTGCACGCTGCACCGCTGCACTACAGTCTGCACTGTGCAGCAGGTGTGTATATTACAGCTGCTGCAGCCTCTGCACACTGCACCGCTGCACTACAGTCTGCACTGTGCAGCAGGTCTGTATCTTTACAGCTGCTGCAGCCTCTGCACGCTGCACCGCTGCACTACAGTCTGCACTGTGCAGCAGGTCTGTATCTTTACAGCTGCTGCGTGGTGAAATTTTCACATTTTTGCTAATTTTACGAAGATTGTCCAAATAATTATACATGTTTTTTTTCACCAAGATTATTGAGATTTATTTTATTAAATAACAAAAACATAATTATATATTATAATAATATATAATAATAATAACGTTAACATCGCAGATGACCTACAGTGGGCGTGGATGCGGGAGTTGGGGGTGCGGCCGGCCTACGTAGGGGGGGGGGTGGGGTGGATGGGGTGGGGGGTCGTGGCTGTGTTGTTGTTGTTGTTGTTGTTGTTGGTGGTGCATCGCTTCTCCCGCTGCAGGTTCCTGCTCTGCAAGTCCAAAATTCAGGACAAGGTGTGTACTTTGAATTATTAAAAAAATTAATTCAAATTCAAGTAATCCAAAAATATTAGTGAGTTAAATAAACAATTGAATATCAATTGCATGTAATAGTATTTCATGCTCATGAATTTTTTGTTTTAATTATTATGGTATATATGATTACAGGAATCAGTGCACTATTCACTAGATATGTGAATATAGTACTCGCATTAATAGATATCGAATCATACCAAATATATTCACGGCTTTAACTCCGATATTAGCTGGATAAAGACGATCTTTTCTGTATTCTTTTTCGGGATTGAAATGAAGCAAAAAGTGAGATATTAGAATATTTTTCGACGCAAATCTAAAAGCTTCAACGCCTTTAATTCCATATTACCATTAATTTTTATTTTTTTTGTCATTAAATGTTTTTTTTTCACGGACAGAACGACGTTCCGACAATTGCGCTCTCACTGACACCAGCAAACCGCGGAAACGCGGACCACACCGTCGCTGGTACCCCATCCGGCGGCTACACGAACTTGGGCTACGTGCTTAATACGTGAACACGTGCACGTGGATGAGGAAAAATTTATAACATCGATGAACTACCTAGATAATTTAATTTTTTCCTGGTTGTGTACCTACATATATATTCTGTAACACATAAGAACTTTATTTTGCGTAATTAAGGACTTTATACCAAATATATAAATATACTACCTCTTTTCTAATATGCATAGAATTACAAAAGTTAATGTAGTTGGCGCCTGACCTACATTTTTCGAGTTTGTGTGCTTGTGTGTTGGGTTTGTGTGTGTGTTGTACGCTTGGTGCCGCAATATATAGGGCTGTTGAGGTGCGTATCCAGGATACTTATGGCGCCGCAATACATGAGTTATTGGGCTAGGGGCGTATCCAGGATACGTATCGTGTCATGATAATTAAAGGATTTTGTCATGATAATTAAATCGTGTCATGATAATTATCGTGTCATGATAATTAAAGGATTAAAGGATAATTAAAGGATTATAAAGGATTTTCAAAGTGAGGGGAAAATAATGGATAGAAATTTAAACTTTAATTTTAAAAAGCGTATTCGTGGCTTCAACTTAAAACAGAGAAAAAAATTTGCTCATATTTTGAAACGAGGGTCAAATTAGAGTTCTATGTTCTATGTAAAACTCGAGTTAAAATGAACCTTGTCAATTAGAATTTATCTGTATGCTGAGATTAACGTGATTAGCCACAGCAGGCATGACGGGATTCGGTATACTGTGATTTTAAAGCGACAGGGATTACTGAGCCTGGAAAAGCCAGGCTAACATACACTTAATGAAACTAAATATACATATGTAATATGTGAAAAACTATATATATATATTTTTTTTCATTGGAGCTTTTCTGTTTGATGTCAGTTCACCATTAGGCCAACGATGGTTATTGCAACACTCATGAAAAACAGTTCACCTGCATTTCGGATATTGAAACATTCTTCTTCTGTTGATTATAAGTCTATTATACAATTTGAAGTGAAAGTACTTATGTGAGGGCAATTTATTATGTGCGGTTTTAGCGGACGTATTTTCTTATTTATGGAAAAAATGCAATATTGTACTCGCCATGTCCGTCTGTCCGTCCGCGACTTCACGTTTTCGTCGACGAGAAAATGCGCTCTCTGTTACTCACTGCAGTGAGTTTTGAGTTACATTTTTATTGTAAGTCCGGCGCTGCAATATACAGAGGATTTCTGAGCCCGCTTCCGCAATACAGCATGGCGAGATTGTTGTCCGAACCTAGCATTGCATTTCTATTGATTGGGATTTATGATGATGCTTGGAAACTATTGAATTTTCTACTATATATTTTATATTTCAACGAAGAAGAATTTATTTTACTATAAAAAATATCCATGTATTTCTATTTCATGTTATATATTAACGAGTTATTCGTTAAACCAATATTAATACTAAACTTAGATTTATTAACATGTCTCTACTTTTTTAATGATTATCTTATTATTGTGAAAGAAGATGAGTAGAAATGAAGATGATTATAAGTGATGCCTGACTTTTCCTAACAAAAATGAGGTTCACAGGCTATTGAATAATGTACCTACTTTATAATAAAGTTTATGTGTGATATCTTATTATCTTGAAGTTGTATCAATTCCCATTGACGTGGCTAATTAAATATTAATTTCGACGATTATTCGTATTTTTCTCCTGTGATTTCAACATCTGCAGTCAACGGCCGAACGGGTACCAGTGAATTCAGCTGTTATTTAACATAACATAAGATGTGATGTCGGTGCTGAAGAGTAGGCCTGATGTGGCCTGTCGCCGTTTCTTACTTTTCGTAACTTGTTCACAGAAGTTCTAAAATCGTATCATTTGACCGGATCTTTTCATGACTGACGATAGTTTGAAGTAGCTAATAGACTTCCACCGGGTTCGATAAGGAGCTAGGCATTTCAAATCTGAACATATATTTTTCCATAGCTTTATCTAGTCTGTTCTTGAACGCGTTCATACTTGGAGCGCCAACGATGTCATCGGAAATTTCAGCTCCTTGTCGACATAAACTCCGAGATCTTTTTCCACACTAGACTTTTCTATCATTACTCTCTCGTTGCAACCATGTCTTCTCATACTGTAATCTTGCTGTTCATTGTTCTTCCCGAGGTGAAGTACTTTACACTTGTCAGCATTAAATCGTAGCTGCCACATATCAGTCCAGTTAACTACAGTTAACTGAACTGTCAAGATCATCTTGTAATTGCGCTTTATTTGACGCATCTTTCACTTCTGTCTGACACTTGTCAGACAGACAGGGCGATGGTTACCAGTACTACTTTTTTGTCACCTTTTTAGCGCTATTTCTCATTTAAGGAAAAAAAGGCACTATTGTGCTCGCCATGTGCGTCCGTCTGTCTGTCCGTATGTCTGTCTGTCCGTCCGTGACTTCACGTTTTCGTCGACGAGAAAATGCGCTCTCTGTCGCTCACAGCTGTGAGTACTGAGCTATATTTTTTGCATTTTTAGCAATATTTTTTTCGAAGTTTTTCACTGCAGTGTGACAAACTTTTTTTAGCTTGATTTCGAGCTCATGCGTACAGGTTATAATTAAAATCGCTGCGAGTTCGTAAATAAATAACGCTTGTAGGCTTCTTTCTTGATCTTTCTATTTAGCAGTGTTTGGCTGCAAAATTAAACAATTTTGAGATAAAAAAAATCAAATCTGGTTTAAAAATGGGTCATGTTTTGAGAGAACGACTCACATTTCTAATGCGACACATTTAACATTACGGTGTGTTAAAATAAAATATTACTTGAAAGCATTCGAACTGGTGGCGCAGTAAAAAAATTAAAGATATTGAATTAGCCAGATTCATAACAGGAATTTTATACAAATTTTAGATTAATCTAAACTTATAAAGTTATAATTTAGTAATGCAAAAAATCTAGAGTTTTTCACGCTAGTGACTCGCGATTCTTCTTGTTCCACGTAAACATATTCGATTGCGGAACCCGGAGGTGATCCTGGAGTTAAGCGAAGCGATCGTGATGCAAGAAACGAGCAGAGGCAGCTCTCGGCCTACTATGGAAGGGATATTATACAAATGGACAAATTACTGGAACGGTTCGTATTGCGCCGATAAGTATTGTTTTGATATTTTTCAATGAGCCGTAATTTGCAAAATTTTTCGAACTTCGGTAGTTCAGCTATGCAACTTCAGTTGCAGTCCACTGAGTCCAGTCACGTTCCCAAACTATTTTTACTCTACATTGATTACTACGGAAAGAAGTAAAAATAAATTTAAATTAATTTTAGGATGAACACCTTAGTTTAGTGGCCTTATTATCATTCACTTACATAAGTGATTAAACACTAAAAAGTCTTATAATTTTACTTATTTTTCAGGCTGGCAACCACGCTGGTTTGTTCTCACTGATGGTGAGCTGACCTATTACAAGAATGAGGAGGATGTCAACTCAGGATGCAAAGGCTCAGTGAAATTGTGTGCCTGTCAGATTTTAGGTGAGCATAATTTTATCAGACCTATTTTGTGGTTTGTTTGCATAATGAATAAACAGAATAATTGAGCTGAAATCATATGCCTGATTTAGCCTCATTCAGGCTGATTTAGCCTGAAGGCTTATTTTGCCTTTAACCACTGGGCAGGGTGGTCCAGTGGTTAAAGTTTAGAGTACCAAGATTGGAGCAGAGAGGCACGGGTTTGATCCCAGCTCTGTGCGCCAGTTTCTGGTCAGAATTGGCAAGGAGGCCGGGCGCGGGCGGTTAAGCAAAGCAGAATTGGAGCAGTGAGTTGCGAGTTTGAGACCGCAACAAGCTGTGAATGTTCTGAAATGTTAAGAATTGTCAACAGGCCTATGCTAACTTGCTAAGGTCTACTAAATACTGAAACTGCTATTATATTATTATTACCTATATTATGTAAAATACTCCTGAATTTTAATTCAGATTGGCACTTGGCAGACTATTTACTAACTCTATTGATATTTGGCAGCTTTAATATTACATCATTTGCATGTATATATGATATCTGGAATGAGTACTTAGGTATATTATTAGTCTGCTTATATCGCAAGTTCACAAGGAACTTAAAAACAATGAAAATGCCAAGAAAATTCACCATATTGATATTGAAAACATTTCGGAGTCCAGCTCCATCATCAGTGCGACTAAACTAAAAATGAATAAAATCATTTTATAAGTCAAAATACAAAGACGGACATAAAACCTAAACAAGTCCTAACATTATATCGAAAAAGTTGAAATTATTATATTATATAGAAATTTTTGATATAATGTTAGGTCTTGTTTATGTTTTATGTCTGTCTTTGAATTTTGACTTATAAAATGATTTTATTCATTTTTAGTCTAGTCAAACTGATGATGGAGCTGGACTCAATAGAGTTTTCAATATCAATATGGTGAATTTTCTTGGTGTTTTCTTTGCTTTTAAATTCCTTATATCTGGAATGAGTTAAATATGAGATTTCTAAGATGGTAGGCAATATATGTACTACTCAGTATACCAGTATTAGGCGGTATATAATTTATAAATATAGAACATTTTTTTATCAACAGCCACAGGGTGTGTACTGGTCATGGAAAACCTGGAAAGTCATGGAATTTGATTTTTCATTTTCCAGGCCTGGAAAGTCATGGGATTTCATTTCAGGTTTTGGACAGTCATGGAATTCACAAATAAATGAAGAAAAAAGGAAATGTTTTCTGTGCTTCGTGTGTTAATCCATTAATTCCGACCGGTTACATTTGGAACCAGCAGAGAAAAATTGATTCATAAATAAAATTGAATGAAAGAAAAAAATTAAAAAATTGTTTCATCCTGTAAATGTTCTGGCAAAGTTTGGTTCTGCTGCGCCAACTACTCTCTTTTCAGTTAGCATTCACAGATTACTGGAACCAGGTCATGGAAAAGTCAAGGAATTTTTTTTCTGAATACTGGTAGGTATGCACCCTGCTGATCAGAGTGATCTTTACAGAAAGTTGTTGGCAATAAAAATTATTTTGTTCTTGTATTTTTAGTGTAGGTAGTCCTAGTGGATTGTTTGCAGAGATTTAGAATAAAAGAAGTCTGATTTTCACTGCTCAGGTTTCCAAGTCATATATTATGTTCTAAGGAAAATTTTAGTTATCAGAAAAAATTGTCTGCCAAATAAAGAAATAAATGCTTGTTTCAATTTGGAATAATGGGCAGAAGTTTTCTGGAATTATGGATATTTAAAAAAATCTTTTCATGAGTGATTTACAAAAATTGCAGTTAAAAATAGGCCATTTTTCATTTTTCTACTGAAATAATTGGGATAAAAGCAATAAGAATAGGTGAAATTGGCTAGATTTCCAGTAGGTAGTCAATGTCCAATTCATGGGTGTCTTCTGCCCAATTTTCCACTTTGCTGCTTGTTCAAAATTTTGGAGGAATTATTAGTATGCCTACATTGTTCACTGCTTTGCAAATGAGCTCAATACTGTTAATTTTTCCACTTAAAAGAATGAATTCTCAGCCAAGGAAATTTTTCTCCTTTACAATTCACTAAACTTGAGGCTCAAAAAATCCAGTAATGGCTGGATTTCTATCTGGCCCTTTACTCTAAGCTGGTTATGGTAACTTCTATATGGACTAAGAAAACTCAACTTGCTATATTATTATTATTATAACTATACCAACCATCATTATAATAAGAGCCAAAGTTTTCTCTCATTAATATCGCCCTCTACTGCATCTAGTTAATTGTCAAAAAATACCTTATCAGTTACAGATCATCACTTGCAGGAATTGTATTCATTTTACTGCTAACATATTTTTAAATTTTTAAATTTTAGCCTGTCAGCAAAGCAGGGAAAGAAAATTATTCAATACAATAGCGACAATTCTATTTCTGTGCAGTTCATCCAACGGACTCCCTGCGTGTTGACATCGTCATTCCATATGAGCAGAGATTCTACCTCAAAGCTCCCTCACAGATGCAACGACATGCTTGGTTGGTTGCACTCGGCAATGCCAAGGCTGGCTTGCCTCCAGCGATACAGCAGTGTCCTGTGCCAGGTAGTCTGATTGCATTTCCATATCAAGTTTAAATAGTTTCTTTCTCTAACATTACTCTTAAAAATAACAAATAGTCCTGTTGATAAATGAAAGGTCAAGTCTCCTGAGCAGTCACAACTGAAGCTGAATTCATATAAAAGCTTTCATTCTATCCTATCAAATATTAAAAAAAAATGTATTATGTTTATTATACTTTTTAGCTATTCACTTAAGCACTGTCAACTTTTGTAGTTGGGTCTCAAAGCCTCTTTGTAAGAGTATATAGCATCCAATTGTTTGAATTACTATTGTCCTCAGCTCCTGAGCCTGATGCACTTAAATATTACTATTGTTCTCAGCTCCTGAGCCAGATGCACTTAAAGCCAAGCGTTCGGAGCTGCGACTGACCTGCGACTTACTCATGAAGCAAGTCTATGACCTCAAAGTTGCTGCCACTGCTGAAGGAGGTCCAGACTTGAAGGTACTACCATACCGGTACTCTTAAATTCAAGATTGAGCTTGTTTGAAATATTTGTAGACTTCAGCTCATCTGTAGTCTCAATATATAGGTACCTAGGTACATTCTGTGCCTTTAACCATTATTGCATGAGGCCTAAGCTCAAGGTATATTATTTAGTTTAATTAACTTATTTAATGATGATATAATGAATTATACCTTTATATTGAATTGTTTGTGATGTTTTTACAATGTTTTTAATTGCATTATCTTTGATTAATTTATTGTCATTGACTAAGTTTTATATGTGTGACTGCTTAAAAATTATTTATTTGTTACTATTGACTCTACTGTTCCCAGTATTACCTTGGATATTTTCCATTATTTTAAGTGTTTTTAATGTTGTCATCATTGTACCGGTATTACTTGCTGATGTGGTCTTATTATTAGTGGCGTATATTGTACTCCTGCAGGTCCTATTTGTTTTCAGAGTTATACTTGAAGAGAAACCTGAATTGAGGAGAAACATCAGAGTTTCTCTTCAATTTGTTTCAACAAGCCAGGTTGTGTGTGATGTTCTAGTCTTTCACAACTACCTGTTTGCCATTCCATTGTTGCATGTGCTGTTCTCATTGCTGGTCTTGATGTTCCCATGTCTGTTCTCATTGCTACCATTACTGTTCTCATTGCTGTTCTTGGTGTTCCCATTGCTGTTCTCATTACTACATTACTGTTCTCATCGCTGTCCTTGGTGTTCCCATGGCTGTTCTCATGGCTACCATTGCTGTCCTTGCTGTTCCTATGACTGTTCCCATTGTTACCATTACTGTTCTCATTACTACCATTACTGTTCTCATTACTGCCATAACTGTTCTCATTACTACCATTACTGTTCTCATTACTACCATTACTGTTCTCATTACTACCATTACTGTTCTCATTACTACCATTACTACCATTACTGTTCTCATTACTACCATTACTGTTCTCATTACTGCCATTACTGTTCTCATTACTACCTACCATTACTGTTCTCATTACTGTCATTACTACCATTACTGTTCTCATTTCTACCATTACTGTTCTCATTACTGCCATTACTGTTCTCATTGCTGGCCTTGGTGTTCCCATTGCTGTTCTCATTGCTGTCCTTGGTGCCCTCATGGCTACCATCGCTGTTCTCATTGCTACCACTACTGTTATCTCTGTTACCATTACTGTTCTCATCATTAACGCTGTACAGGAGCTGGATGAGGCGGGTGGGCTGTTGTCCGCGACGTGCGACACGTTCTGCCGAGCCCTGGACGAGTGCATGAAGCTCTCCCTCACCCCCACCCTCCCTGCTGATCATGAGGGACCGCCCCCCACTCCTCCCCTCATACTAGTTAAGGTAGGATGTCATATTCAGACTCGTGTATGTTTGTTTGTAATCGATAGGTGTGTATTTTATTTGTCATTATATCTGTTTATGGTACTTACAAAGATAATGGATATATATATAGTCAGATGGGGTAAGACAGGACCGAAATCACTAACAAGCCTGTAGCATCTATACCATGAATAACTAAAAAACCCTAAACCTATCACAAGGTGTAGTTATGCAATAGGCTTCTAAGTTACAACTCAGACGTTTTGCATCTAACATAGTTTTCTGTACAGATTTAAAAAAGTGAGCCGGTCCCATCTTACCCCATAGGGGTAAGATGGGACCAGGCTGGGGTAAGAAAGGACCAACTGGTAATTCTTATGTTACAAGGTTTTTAATAAAAGTACAAATCTGATATTCAATATTATCCATCTAGAAACACATTATTTGATAAAACAACCACTTGTTAATGTTTTGTGTTGCGGGAAGTCAACTATAGTAATATCAGTCACATTGAAGTTTTTGTCACGAGAAAACTTTGTTAAGCATAGTGATAGTGGGTTGGCTTTGGTTCATTGTAGAGCACTGCTAAATGCTTTATGTATATACCATTAGTGTCATTGTCTGAAAAATTTATCAAATTGGTAATAAAACCAATGGATAATAGCTTAAGTGTCAGACATCATGTGTTTTCTTGCTAACTTCATTTGTGGTGCACTTCTTCAAACATAGCTCATGCCCTCTCACAGAGTTGTGATCATAATTATTTTTTATGTTTCACACAATGATTTTCCCCCAGTCAATCTTGCACATACTAGTTCTGCAGCTCACTAATGGGAATAGAGATCCCTATTTTCTATATCCCTTTGATGCAATTTAAAATAGTGCACTAAATTTCTCTAATTAAAAAAAGCTAACAAGTTATAATGAAGTTTGGGCAAAAGATAAAAATTTTGATCAAAATACTCCATGTACTACACAATAATATATTCATTTGAAAACTATTTTTGATAAACTGTAGGGTAATAGAGGACCATTTGTGGGGTAAGACAGGACCATTTGTGGGGTAAGACAGGACCATTTGTGGGGTAAGACAGGACCATTTGTGGGGTAAGATAGGACCACTTGTGGAGTAAAACAGGATCATTTAGTGGTCCCGTCTTACCCCATGACCGGTCCTTTTTTACCCAATTTTAGAATACATGTCAAACAGTGATGGTAGCAGGTAGGAATGCCTATTTTGTTTAAAAAGTTGCCTACCGTAAACTGGGGTAACTTAGACTCCCGGGGTAACTTAGACCAATTTTCGTTTTTTTAACAAAAACCCCCAAAACTCAAAAACTATTTGACATAGAAAAATTCTGTCAATGGGCATTAAAGGCCTAATACTGAGGCTACGTAACACAATAGAAAGATTTAAAAAGTTTGCATATCTAATAGGTTAAAAAATTAAAAATGTGACCCACGAAAAAAGCTATTATTTAAAGCCTGTCGGAGTACCCTCTCCAATTTTTTTATTTTTTGGCAAAATAACTCCAGGTTTTGATGCATTGTAGTACAACTCTTCTAGTTACATATGCAACAAACAAATTTTAGGAAAGTCTCATAGTTTGCAAATGCGGGGCGCCGCCCCCCAATGGGGGAACTTAGACCACCTAATGTCAGCCCTGACGGGGTAACATAGACCGGCTTGGAAATTAATTTAAAATTACCATGTATAACATTTCATGTTTGATACACCTATTAATGTTTTTTCTTAAGGTTTCAGACTCTACAGAGTCTGATATATGGTAATTTTAACTTAATTTCCAAGCCGGTCTATGTTAACCCTGTCAGGGCTGCCATTAGGTGGTCAGAGTTCCCCCGTTCGGGGGAACTTAGACCACCTGGGGGGCGGGACCCCCCATTTGCAAACTATGAAACTTTCCTCAAATTTGTCATTTGCATATGTAACTAGAAGAGTTCTACTACAATGCACCAAAACCTGGAGTTATTTTACCAAAAAATATAATTGATTTTACCACACAGTCTAAGACACCCCCAGAGCTGGGGTAAAAAAGACCATCGATTTTTTTTAAATTACATCAAAACTATGAGACGAAGGAGCCAGCAATTTATGGTGAGTGAAGCTAGAGTATAGACCTGTATTTTGCATGTTTCAATTTAAGTTTAACTTATCTAGTAAAAAAGTGGCATCATTTAAAAAAAAAAGTGGTCTAAGTTACCCCAGTTTACGGTATTACTTGAGGTTACCTGCCTACATCCACAAACCTGGCCAAAAAATTTTTTGTCAGACAGAGCTTATTTCCCAAACAGGGTTAGCTATTTTGTGACCCTTCTTTACATAGGTTTTCTTTAAAAATTAGTCAGAAATTCATTATTTGCAGAAGAGGTTTGCCACAAACACTGAAATGACAGGCAATGATTGTTCTAACATATTCTTTTGTCAAATTGAATTCAGTGCAATTAGAATGCACGCCACTGGCTGGTCCTTTCTTACCCCATGAAGGCTGCGATCCTGTCTTACCCCATTTGACTATATATATATACTATGCTGGTAGAATAGCAGTTTATTGTCTGTGTGATGTTGTTGACGTGTGTGATGAGTTGTTGACGTGTGTGATGAGTTGTTGACGTGTGTGATGAGTTGTTGACGTGTGTGATGAGGCAGTAATGATATGCTGCATGCAGGGCAAGCGGTTGTCCACATCGTCGCTGAGAAGGACCTCAGCCCAGCGCAATGGCTCCACCGAATGGTTAGTCTTCTCCATATAATTGAATAAATTGCTCAAACATTCATAAATTATGGTAGCAGTTATTCATTAGAATTTTTACTTTTTATTTTGAGAAAATTATCAATAAACTAAAATACTTTTTAAATGGTTGCAACAGATTCAACTAATTACAAAATCAACAGCATTAACAAATAGTGTTAGCCAAGTTTAATAAGTGTTATTTACTTATTTACTGATAAATTTTTGAAGATCTTGATGCTGTGTTGGTTATTTGGTTGGTATCTTTGCTTCCTTCCCAGACCGTGAGACTAAGACCAACCAGGATGCTGTGGCTGCGGCTGATATTGCTGTGGCTGCTGTTGCCGTTACTGTGGCTATGGCTGTTGCTGTTGCTGTGGCTGTGGCTGCTGTTGCTGTGGCTGCTGTAGCTGCAGCTTCTGCTGTGGCTCATGTTGCTGCTGCTGCTGTGGCTTTTTTGCTGCTGCATCTGCGGTCGATCGCTAGAGTGGCCAGTGAAGCTTGTGTTCCCGAGTTTTTAAAGGCTATTCAAATATTTACTTTTTATGTCGACGACTCCGTGAAATGTGGCAAACGAAACTGCTTATATTTTGAATAACATTTTTCTAAATGATATGCGGTTTAAATTATTAGTTTTAGCGTCATTCGTGGCTTGTATTACTAGTGCGTGTGCTAGTCGAGTCTTGGCTGACTATGTTATTGCATTTATATATCTATTATTAATGTGAAATTGTTGACAATATTCTAGGCTTTGAACCAGTTGGATGCCTGCGTAACTATCGCTTTATTTGCAGTTAGAATAGAGGAATAATGTCTGCTTGCGTGAATAGTGAATTGTCTTGTCTGCCTTTCGGTGGTATAATAAAAGCAATTAGATGAAATATTTTGATGAGGAGATTTAGCCTTCGTTTTCATGGCGTCTGTACTGAAATAGCGAATAATAAACCACGCTTTTACACAGATTTTCCTCAAGATTAACTTTAATCAGGGATAGATTAATCGGATTTTATCTCATTGTTTTGTCCGGCATTTAGTCACTGACTGATAGGTAATCTGAGACGGTTTTAATCTCTGATTTTCCTACCCATGTCGGTAAAAATTTACCTTAAATAATTTTATGATATACGCGATACTGTCCCGATATTGTACCGTTGACGAGTTGACATGCTCGATATAATTGCCAGTTCTTCCTTACAATTATGCTTGCATTAAAATTATTTTTAATAATTAAGTATACTTATAAGTGTTCATGAGGGACTATCGTTCAAGTATGAATTCAAGACGCGCGTCACTTCTTAACATGTTCCTAATTTTATTTAGTTTAATTAATTTGTTAATTTGAAGCCAATTATAATTATGGAATTCTTGCATTTATCAATTAAATCTTATGAATAATCTTAAATAGATAATTTCTGTGCTTGAGAAAATTGTCCTGACCCTTCGTCCCCGCCCCCTCAACCCCCGAAAATATTTTTACTCTGATATCTAACCTCAAAATTCAGGCCGCGAGATTTACATAGATAATCTTTGCTGTTGACATTACTGGAAAATAATTGATTTTGTCTTTCTATCGACCGCAGCCTGGAGCTGTGGTTTCAGATTGCCTAGAAGATACTTAAGAGCTCGTTAGGCTTAAGGCTTTCCACTTAACACCTTTACTAATCTCGCCACAAGCCAGCCTTTACCTGAACTTGAAATGACGTGGTTAATTACTTTTATCGTTGAGCTAACGATCATCGTGGAGCTAACGATCGTCGTGGTGCTCACGATCATCGTGGAGCTCACGATCATGATAAATCGTGGCGTCTATCGTGAGCCTCAGAACAAAATGAACGTTTCATCCTATTTTGAAATAAGTTTTCACGTTCAAAACTCATTCGTTTTAGTACTTGTTTTATATATTATAGTCACGTTGGTCGTAAGTCTTATGAAAGCGTGAATAATATTATATGTGCAGTAAATTTGGAGTTTTTATATAATATTATAATCGTTTTTTATATTGTTTGATTAAATTGCTATTGTTTGCAAACCTAAGGTAATACTAGTCTCAAAATTAAAATAGATTACGTGAATTGGTTAGAATACTGATAAATTCATAATTCTGGTTAAATATCTCCACTGATTTTGTTATATTTTGTATTTGGTCGGGTGCATTCTATGAATTATCGTCTTAAATTATGAATATTATAATTAAATTATACCACAGTTGTCATTATTTATATTATTATTATGAAAACCTACTATATTTATTTATTTTTTCATGTCGTTTGTGTGTAACAAATCTGAGTCTCGCTAGGATACTAATTAATGATCAAACAAATTTAATTAGAACACATTATTAGAGTGGACTTTTAATTAGTACGCTGTACTTATTAACCAAGCGACTCATTAATGATTAGAACACATAATTAGAGTGGACTTTTAATTATTACGCTGTACTCATTAGCCAAGCGACTCATTAATGACTAAATCCAAATAGCGATGCACTTTTTTTCAATTGTGTAAGTCATCCTGACCTATTTTGGTGCCCGATACAAGTGCGTATCAGTGTTCATTGCTTATCAGTTCACTCGTACATTTTAATTACAATACATCTATTGTAATATAAATGTACAATACATACATTTATTAGTTTTGGATGGCAGAATTTGTTGATTTATACGCGTGCGATTTAATTTCATTTCAATATTTAATGCTCTTTGTAACTTGAAAATGAATGTTTGTTACATTCGAAACGTCGTTAATAAACTTAAACTTCTTCCTGATATATGCCTTCCGATCTACCAACGCCATCTGAAAAATTGTCCGACTCTTTGATAATATAAGTCAACGAATTCTCTGGTCGTTAATCGCACGCGTATAAATCATACATTTATCTGAGTGTACGATCTCTAATTTAAAATTAGGTTCCAGTGCGTATTTTTATCAATTATTTCGCGTAGGCAATTGTTACAGCGCATTAAATGGAAAATGTTAATTAATTTAAAATATAATTAAGCTAAGTAATTTAAGTAGTTCCGCTAGCTTCCTATAGTCCATTACTTTTGTACTATAGCCTAGTTTGATCTACAGAATATATGTATATGGTAAAAATAATTCATTGTGTTTCTTACTATCCTTTATGCTCTCACTGTGGTTAGTCTTGGTAGTTAACTTGGGGATGTGAGCAATAGTGAACGTCTGGATCAAACTAATGTTCAACATGGTAAATATGAGATGTCTATATTCTCATATTTACCATGTCTCATTCATATTTACCAATATGGTAAATATGAATGCCTATATCAATATGGTAAATATGGAATAATTCTGACGCAAGCATAGACATGATAGTGAACATGACAATTGACATGATGTCGAATGTGAAGATGAACATGCTGGTGAACTGAAATGTACTCAATTTGTATCACATTCATCGTCACTAACTCAGTTGCCGTACGGAACTACCCTCTGTCATAATTAGTTACTATCAACTCCAATAGCATCAAGCACGATTTGAGGATGAGTTACGCTAATTTATTTATTCATGAATACACGGCATAGTGTCATTCGAGATCATTCTTGGATGAATGCTTGGCTGTGTGAGCTCATTTATGTAGCCTCAGTGCCACTGAACAGTGCCATCATGGTTCAGACTGCCACTCCGGTCGTTTTCTGTAATTTGCACGACCAGCAGGATTAAACGAGTTATATCTGACGTAATGCTCGAGAAATTTAATGTTTTGAAACTTATATTATTATAATAAAATTGTGGTGTAAGAATAAATTCAATTTGGCTTCTTTCGTCTTCTGCCGTTTAGTGACTTCGCAGAACTTTCAATGCTTTCTGAGCCTCAAGCCTGCAATTCACTGTCAAAAACATTGTTTTCTTTAACCAACCGTCCACTTAGCTTCATTGCTACCTGCTTTCAGTTATAGTTGTGTGCTTGTGCTATCATACAGTAATTTTTCCACTAGATTTTATCTGTAGAAGTTTTACGACGTAATCTTCCTCCATAAATGTTATCTCTAAAAGTTCTGACCGCAAGCCTTGGTAGGATCACTACAAGGAGGCAACTGTCCTACGTCTCAGTCGCGTGCGGTGCGCGCCGCGGTGAGGTGGTGTGCTGGTGCTGGCTCTGTGGTCCCGACAATCGCTTGAAACAGATTTAACTTGTGTGCTTAAATAATATATTAAGTATAAATTTGCGTCCTCTGTAAATTATTATTAATCCTCCAAATTTAATAATGAGGTCGGCAAAAAATGTGGAAGTTGCGTAATTCAAGTATACCGATATTCATTTACGTGAACTGAATTGTTAATGAATTGATAGAATTACTAAGGCGAATTTTGATACTACGATATGGTGAAGTAATTTCAAACTTGTTTGTGTGTTGCAATGTCAGCCAGAATAAATCAAGGACTCTCTTTATAGGCCTCTTAATGGTTGATGATTTAGATTAATTTTATTAATTGATTAACTTTAATGAATTTTATATCATCACCCGAAGGTTAAAAACGTACGTAACTGTCGTATTCGACTAAACAAGGCATCACGTAATGATGCATTATAGTCATTGAACTGTAACGAAAATTATTTAATATAAACAACTGTTCTTTATATAGTGCGAAATTATCGCTTATGTTAATCAACTTCGATTTTGCCTAGAAAGTTTTGTGAGCAAAGTTCAAGTAGAAAAAATTAATTTAAGCGAACAATTTATTTTTAACGACCTTAAGGTCAATCGAATCCACAATCCGCAGGTTCTTTGTACTCCATTGGCTTACAAAAGGTTTGCAACAAGTGGGTTTGCAAAAGGATATTGTTTAGTTTGCAAAATGATATTGTTTAGTTTGCAAAAGAATATTGTTTAGTTTGCAAAAGGATATTGTTTAGTTTGCAATTGTTTAGTTTGCAAAATAATATTGTTTAGTTTGCAAAAGGATATTGTTTAGTTTGCAAAAGGATATTGTTTAGTTTGCAAAAGGATATTGTTTGGTTTACAAAAGGATATTGTTTAGTTTTCAAAAAGATATTGTTTAGTTTGCAAAAAGATATTTGTGACGCGTGAGTGATAGGATCCTATACCGCCGTCATGTCTGCTAGTGATCTACACAGGGAGATGCTGCAGGAGGTGAGGCTTGTGTTCCTTTGTATTATAGTCATGTGTGCCTAGTATACATGCTTTGAATTGTTTTTTCCATGTGTGCCTTGTAAACATGACTTGAATTGTTATATCATGTGTTCCTTACGTATGCTTTTTTTCAAATACGCGTTTGATGTTGTAAAATTTGCCCGACGAATTAGTGAGAAGCACTATAATATTTTTATTGTATTATAAATTATATATCTGCTTGACAGAAAGAACGACGATCATAAGTAAAGCTTAATTTA